GAGGAAAAAAATATGTTCAAGTTGCATTATATAGCAGTGTAGATCCATCCATTGTCTCTTAAACTGATAGCAGTTCAGAAAACCCATGACTGCATTCAGTCTTGTGAACATGGTATTTGTACCCTGTGTAGTAAAGGCATCCCCTTGACATTATATCTAGTCGTGTCTGACTCTGGCCGGGGGGGGGGGGGGGGGGGGGTTGATGCTCCTCTCCATTTCTAAGCTGAAGAGTTGGTGTTCTCCATAGACACCTCCAATGTCATGTGGCCGGCATGACTGCATGGAGTGATGTTACCTTCCCACCGGAGCAGAATCTATTGATCTACTCACATTTGCATGGTTTTTAAAATAATTTTATTGTGATTTTCAAATGGGCAAGTTTACATAAAATAGGGGTAGAACAATTTAGGAGAATTATATGGAAAAGATAGGGAAAGAGGGTAAGTGAGTGGTTAGGGAGTGAGAGGAGGGGAAGGAAGGGAGGGCGAAGCTAAAAAGCTTGGAATGTGGTAGGGAAGGTAAGGGTAAGGGTAGGGTAATGGGGTTGGAAAGGGGAATTTGTACTTCCATTCTTCTCTATAGTGGTGCCATAAAGTTCATTATAGTCCTTTGTTTTACATCTGCTTTCCTAGCAATTGTATCTTCTCTCTTCCATTCTCTTTTTAAAATAATGGTTTTATTTATTTTCCTTCAGCCATTCAGCATGACTGCATGGAGCACCGTTACCTTCCCACAGAAGTGGCACCTACTGATCTACTTTCATTTCCATGTTTTTAAACTGCTAGGTTGGCAGAAGCTGGGGCTAACAGCAGGAGCTCACCCCACTTCCTGGATTCGAGCCGCTGACCTTTCAGTCAGCAATTTCAGCAGCTCAGCGGTTTATCCCACTGTGCTACTGGGGGCTCCTGTATACCTTGACAATAATGCCCTTGGTAAAAGAAAGACAGAAACAGCAACTCATCACCATGATGAACTCAATCAGTAAGCTATTAATATCACTAGTATAGTCAAGAGGAAAGTATTTTGTTATTGTCAACCCTCTACATAACTTGAATGCTTACACATTTATATATACGATCAGGTAATAGTAAATAACAACATAAGGCACCTCCCCTTTTCCCCATCAAAAACCTGTGCCCAGCAGACAAAATGTCAACAAGCTAAAAAGGCTGGGTTGTTGTAGGTTTTTTCGGGCTGTATGGCCATGGTCTAGAGGCATTCTCTCCTGACGTTTCGCCTGCACTTTGGCATGCATCCTCAGAGCTAAAAAGGCACTTCCTGTATTGGAAATGCTTTCTGTAGTTTTCTGGTATGAAGCTCTACACTTAATTTTTTGCCAGTCAAGCTCCTGAGTGGGAAAGAAGCTTTTGTCAGCATCATATGGGCATCAAATCTACAAACCACATGCACATATAGATCTCTAATAGAATATTTCCAGGCTGGCCAAAGATGCCATGGCAAGGGAGGACTGACAGCGAGACCTTGATGCCATTTCTAAGCTTTCTCTAAAGTAATTTGTGTGTGCCACTTCCTACAAGGTGATATAAAGCTGCCAGTGTGTACACAGTGCCTTTTGGGCACAAAGCAGGGTGTGTGTGTGTTTTAAGGCTACTGGGTATATGCCAGGTCCACCTTTAAGATAAGCTCATTCAATGTAATGGGTTATTATTTCTAGAGCAAGTATGCTCTAGATCAGGCATGGACAAACTTTGGCCCTCCAGGTGTTTTGGACTTCAACTCCCACAGTTCCTAACAGCCGGTAGGCTGTTAGGAACTGTGGAGTTGAAGTCCAAAACACCTGGAGGGCCAAAGCTTGCCCATGCTTAGTCTACACTGTAAAATCAATGTAGTTTGACACCTCTTTAACTACCATTGCTCATGCTATGGACCCTGGGCGATGTATTTTGGTGAATAATAATAATAATAATAATCTTTATTTATACCCCACCACCATCTCCCCAAGGGACTTGGAGCGGCTTACATGAGGCCAAGCCCAACAACACATCAATAAAAACAACAAGCAATGAACAAAAACAATAAATACAATACAATTAATATAAATCACATATAAACAACCAATAAACAGTAACACACAAGGATTTTTTGGCAGACAGGGCTAAAGACCTTGTAAAACTGGAAATGTCATGATTCCCTAGCACTGAGCCATGGCAGTGGGTGTGATGTCTCTCTGCATGAATTCTCCAGTGCAGATTCACCCAAAGATCCCATCAATTCAGCTCCTTACACACCAAGGCAGCCATTCCCTAACTCTGTCCTTCCAGGGGTTTCAGACTTCAACTCCCAGAAGCCTCAGCTGCCTCGGCCAATGATGAGGGATTCTGGGAGGTGAAGTCCAAACGCTGCCATCAAGCAAAGGAGTCACTCAGCCACCCTCAACCCACCTGGCTGTTGGTCCTCCTCTTCCTCCTTCTCTAATCTTTCCGCCCTCCCCAAGAACTTGATGGACTTGAGGGCGACCCAGCCGAAGAGGGTCCACGCCCCGACGGAATAGGCCAGGGCCGCGCGGCGGTTCCAGACACTCGGGTTAGCCATGCTGCGGCGCGCGACCCTTCCTCGCGCAACTCGTGGGGAGCGGATTGGGGGGAGACAGACCCGTGTAACCTGCTTCTCTATTGGCTCACTTTGCCTCTCAATTTCTTTTCCTTCAAGAAACGCCCTTCTTCATTGGCCAACTCTTAAACCAACCGGATTCCACGGCACACAACGAAGTCAGTCTGTTTTCAAGAGAGGGCAGTTCTTACTGGGCAGTAGCATTCCGTCTTCGCCCCGCCCACCAGGAAGAGGCTAACTCTGGAATCATGCAGCTCTTCTAACTCTGCTACACTACAGCCCCCAGCATCCCTCACTACCCGCATTGGTGGCAAGGGCTACTGGGTGTTGCATTCCGGCAATCAATTGGAAGGCCGTAGAATTCCTACACTCTGGTTTAAACAGTTTATCACTTGTAATATGTTTTAGACATGGGCCTTCCACACAGCTGAATAAAATCCCATATTATCTACTTTGAACTGGAATATATGGCAGTGTGGACTCGGATGACCCAGTTCAAAGCAGATATTGTGTATTATTTGCAGATATTTGTATATATTTTGGATTAATATTCTTGGTGACAACTATCAGTTTTCAACTTGTATAAGATGCAGACTTAGGTAAAAGTATGATAGCTGGGACCAGGCCCAGAGTCAGGATTTGGGGGGGGGGGGGGTCACTGAGGATCTACCCTAGCAAACCTTTTGTATCGTTATCCCAATACCCCCATGCATATGGGATATATTGAGCATGGTGATCAGATCATGATATGAATAAACATAACAGTTTAAATAATGCACCAGTAAGGCCTTCTCGCGGACCCACTCTGAGAATTTGGGGGAAGGGTGGGGTGCTGAAGCCCCTCAAGCCCCCCACCCTGGCTACATGCCTGGCTGGGACCAAGTGCTGGTAGTGCTACGCTGATTCTGCAACGGTGGTTGTGAATGAAGAACACGTGTGACCACGTGGTTGAGAGAGCGGGCGAAGTGAGACTGGGTGGAGTGAGAGAAGCAGGCTGGACAGTCACCAAGATAGTTCGTGGGAATGGAAGACAAGCCCAACGAGGGTCGGGGGACGGGACAATAAACGGGGAAGCATTACTTCACTGTTATGTGTCCTGCCTGCATTAACTGAATTCAGTGGTATCCTGCCACCACGTTGCACTATCAGCGTTGGCAAAGCAGTGTTACGGAATCAGCATAGCGCTACCAGTACATAGCGCTACCCAACTATCATACTTTTACCCAGACTTAATAATTTCTCTCCATCACCACTGCCCTGACCAATGCCCTGTGTTTCTGGTGTACAGTATTTTAAAATTGTAATATTTGTTTCATTTAATTGCCTTGAAGGCTTGCCTGCATCAAAGCGCAAAGACTCCTGTGAGCAGCTAAACTCTTCATTGAGCCAATCACTGGCCACCTATGACTACATTGGATAGGTTACTGCATCAGCTATTCCCGTGGTTCTCAACTTGTGGGTCCCCAGATGTTTTGGTCTTCAACTCCTAGAAATCCTAACAGCTGGTAAATTGGCTGGGATTTCTGGGAGTTGTAGGCCAAAACACCTGAGGACCCACAGGTTGAGAACCACTGATCTATTCTAAAACCCTGCAGCAATTTGGAACTTGTTTTTTCTGGCTTTTTGCATCAAATCCACCTTGTGAGATTCAACAAACTAGTAGCTCATGTTTTAGATGCACCAAGTTTAGGACTGAAATCTTGGGTGTTTGCAGGCAAAGCTAGGAAAGAATCATGTGTGAAAGCTGGAACTCACAGTGTGGACTTCTTAAACTTTTTCCGCTCCTGACTACCCAAGAAAATTGTATGTGATCCCAGGTATATAGGTATAAAGCCAAACATTTAGTGATAACAAACCGGCATTTGCAAGACTGGCTAAACAGGCTGATTTTCTTTTTTGTGGAGTACTGCTGAAAAAATCTCTACAGAGTCCACTGTTGCTAACTGATTCATGTAAATAGTGGCATTCAGAAACCTTTCACTGTTGCCAATTTTTTAATGACCACAATATTGACCTAAGAGGAACACATTTGAGATGGGGACCCAGTTTAAAAAGTACTGTGCTAGGAATGGGCTGGATAATGCCAGGGAGCATTGCCACAGAAGTTGCAGCTTCTCAAGCTACTCAGTAAACTGGGTGCAATTGGGGACTCAGCTTTGCTCCCTCTTTGCCTTCTTTACAAGGGTCCAGCATTGATAAATTAGGTCCATGGATCAATTTTCCTTTAGTTTTGAATACGAAAACAATTCTCTTGATGTTAAGCAGCATGAGAGGTTTCAATAAGGCAATTCACCTTTTTGCTGCAGAAAAATTGACCCCGGGGAGTATTTGGGGGCCACATGTAGCCCATACTTTGCCCTCCCCAATGTGAGGGAGACAAAGCTTTCTCTCACAAATGGAATCACATCCTGGCCAAATGAAAACAACTCTTCAGCCCAACACCTGCCTCCAGTTTTATTTTACTTAAGTCCAAGTGCAGAAAAATTAATTACATTAGACAAAAAATCATCATGGAATAATTACATGAGTGAAAAAGTAGAACTAGCAGAACATACAGAGAAAGAATATCAATAAGTTAAATCTAAAATACAAAACTTCCCTAATGCATTTGTTTGTTATGTAGAATCACTAAAAATGATTTAAAGGAGGTGAAGGAATGTTATTAGTTCTTGGCAGACTGGGTCATCAGTAGCATGATTTTAGTTCATTATTTTTGTTGAGGTTTCCTTATCAGGTAAAAATTATGATGCGCTTGAAACAGCCAGCTTCTTCAGATGGTCCATGAATACCTGTAGACTAACGTCGTCTGTTAGAATTGGGGCACCGGACTCCTGAAAAAAACCCAAACACATTTCAATAATAAAAAAGGGAACTCTCCTAAAAACAAGGAAAATTGATCAGATGAAGCACAACTGAGTGAAGCATCAGTCTAGGAACCCCAGTTCCATTGATTCACATTTCAACATTTATTCTTCTTTATTATCCAGTCCTTTCCAGGCCTTATACTTATACACGCACGCATCAGTTACCAAAGCCTCTGAAAAAGGAGGTACATTTTACAAAGCTTTAAATGCTTCCCAGCCCCACTTTTTTCCTTGTCTTTTAGTATCATTAGCATTGGGAGGATGGAGAAGACATGCCAGAGAAACACAGACTTTTTGTGGCAAGTTATGGCGACAAGTCTGCAGCAAATAATTCAGAAACATCTGAGCTGAGAAAGAATGGGATTCTCCTCTAGCCAATCTTACTGTAGCTGTGTGAGCAGTCAGATACACAACAACTGCCTTCAAAACCCCTTGCTGTGTGTGTGTGAGTGGCAAAACAAAGTGAAAAAAGGGGAAAGTTGAATGCTGACTCAACACTGACCACTAGCAAGTACAGATCTATGCAAAATCAAGCCTCACAAGTGCACCAAAGCAAGTGACATGTTTACATCCTTGATTTTTAAAATATCTAACAGAATGCATTGATTGTACAAGGAGGAAATATGAACTTCAGAAACTTTTGTTATCAATTACTTACTTGTCCCCATGCATAGAGATTGTTATGAGTCTGAGATGGATTCACTTTAGACAAGAGAAACCGTGCCTGTAAAAAAAAAAGAGTGAAAATTTAGCATAGAGGTAAAATGATAGGAAATGTCATCTCGTGATCACATCTAATATGTTAAAACTGCTCAGAATTAACTTGAAATGTTCACTGATGACAGAGAATATAGTTTGGAAAGATAAAAGGTCAAACCTCATCCTGAAAGAAAGGGGTGCTTGAAGTATGCCTTTTGCTTCTAACGGAATGAACCACGGTGCTGGCATTCAATATTTCAAGAGATATTTTAAGATGAAATAATGTACCTATATATTCCTTGGTTCAAACCGGATGAGTACAATGAGGTCAAAATTTCTGGACATTTCAATTAGTTCAGAGCACAGCTGGTCCATGTGAAGAATAATAGATGAAACAGAGATCTTTTGAGGAGGTTCTGCTCAGAGTTTCTTCACTGATGAAGATAAGACTAATGACAAATAGGACATTTTCTTTAGAATTCCCTTCCCAAAGAAACCCTTTGCTTTTTTCAGATTTCCTGTTTCAGCAAGCATACGCTTACTTCCTCAGCTGGCTTTTAATTTTGCATTTAAATTTTATGTGGTCCTTCTAATTTGTGGCTTTCTTGTGTCATAATTCATCAACATCATTTTTGTATGTTTTTACATTATAATGAGCCCTTGGTATCCATAGGGGTTAGGTTCAAAGACACCCTGTGAATACCAAAATCTATGGATGCTCGTCCCATTACAGGAGTTCCTAAGTAACAGACAATATAGGTTCTGTAAGTTTGTTTTTATGTTGAATTTGTATGTAAGTCAGAACAGGTACATTTTTAAGCATAACTCCAGTGGTGTTGGTTTTGCTGTCTGTATCTCTGTTCAAAAGATTCTATCTCATTTTCCGTCCCTGTGATAATTGGATTTGGAAAAAATTTGGCTTGTGGAAACAAAGATTGGTGATCAAGCTTCAGCGGGGACACCTTTTTCCCCTTGATAACTCTTCCAGAAGTGATTTTCCCTTCCAAGGAGTAGAGTTCTCTAACTTCCTGTTGTCTCATCCTGTTCTTAACTATGAGTTATTTGTAAGTCGGATGTTTGTAACTTGGGGACTGCCTGAACAAAAAATGATATAGTAAATTGGTGCCCCTTATATAAAGTGTCAATATCAAGGTTTGCTTTTTGCTTCTTTTGCTTCTTTTGAGGGAGGGGGTATTTTTAAGCTGTAGATGCGGAATTTGTGGATACAGTGGCCACATCACTCAGGGCTACATCTGGCTCAATAAAAATAAGTAAAAAATATATGCCAGTGAAATTATTAGGCATATTTGGTGCTTCTAACCATGTCTTCATTTCACAGACTAATTTATCCTACAATTTATCCTACAAATAAGAATACTGTTTTAAACTCCCTGGAGAAATGACAGAATATGAATGTATAAAAAAATCTTTACAAAACAGTCTTGAAAATTTTAAAATCAAGAAGCACAAAATACAATGAAATCGACTGTTCGTAGATCTCAGCAACTGGCATCAATATGGTATTCCTAAGCAACGACTAGTAATTTTTTCTTTAATCCTCTTTGGAATGGTACATTTCATTTCATACAGGAACATGATTAAGAAAAAACTCTTACAGATTATTACACTATGTAACACACTTGTTGTTCCTGGGCTATAAATGTCATTTTGATTCTATCATATAAATATGAGAAAAGTTGTGGTACATCCTGCAGCATATTTTGATATAGTTTTTAATGAATATCTCAGAGTCTCAACCAATTCAACATAGTTTGTGGCAGCCACAAAAATAAAGTTTCTGGAGTAGAACAATTACTTTCAAAGTAAGTACCGCACAATTAAACAGAAAATCACACCTTCAAACCAGGAACAGGAAAAATTTCAAATTTTGTTAAATGGTATTATTAAACTACCAAACATTTTTTTTTCTCTCCAGCATTGAAATGAAAACTATCTGGCCTTTGAACGCATTCAAAATCTACTTGCAGATATATGTCTGTCATGTTTCTTCATATATCTTTCTTTACAAAGCTGCATCTCACCTGACTGCTCCCATGCTCTGTGTTCACGTAACGTGGCATTGGGAATCTTGTCTGCAGGATTTCTTGAGCATCATCCAATGGGGCCTGCAGCAGGTGCTTGAAGTTTTCGTATTCAGGCATATCTTGATAACCAGCTTTACGCCACTGAGCAATAGTCTGTTTGTGAAAGACAGGGGCAAATGTGGAAATTAATCAAACTATTTCCATAAAGCTTGATGTCTGATTCTCAGGATTCCCTTAGTCTGTGAACTAGTGTTTTCCTGTTAGGCATTAATAGACATAGCTTTGCTCTTACTACCCAACCACTTTAAAATTTGTATTCAGCCCAAAAATAACAGACAAATCAGTGGAGCCAAATGGTGAATTCGTTCCAACAATCAAAATTTTAAAAATTGCCTAGAAGCAGTGAAAAAAATTCACTGTTTCTCTTGGGCAATAGATGTGTTTGGTTTTACCAGAAACAACACTGACCAAGGCTAAATAATGAATTGTTGGCTGCTCACTTCAACTGAGTCCTACTTTTATCCTATCCCTTCCGATGACAAGCTAAGAAAAGACTTTCAAATTGTATCCTCTTTTTTTTTCTTATTTCACATTCTACCAAGCCCTGAGCAATTCCTATGCTATCACTATCTAGTTCTAACATAGGCTTTGAGATTTAATTTAAGGCAAATTGGAGGGTCTTCAAGTAGACAAAGTTTTCAAGCAATTCCTTGCCACTCACACAACTCATGCAAATCTCAGCTGGAACAAAACAGTTATTTGCACGTTACCTCACCAAGGTAGATAACAATCTGGAAAAAGGTATCCATCAGTAGTATCCTGTCTGGAAGAATGCTGCTGCTATCCAACAGTACAGGCTAGAAAAATAAATGAATAAATCAGTATTCATAAAGACTGCCTTGGGAAAGGAAAGCTATAGATATACCACAAAGAAGCTTACATTAATCTTGCATCCCATCATATAGGGAAACAACTGCAGAAATAAACTTTTAAAATAAACTTCTACACATTTCCCAGTGAAAAAATAATTTTCCAGCCACAAGGTTCTATCTAAGCAGACATCAGTATGTAAGGTATTTTTTTTTCCAATTAAGGCTCAAATATCCTAAAGACAGCAAGTCATATCTGATCCTGGAAGTTAATCAGGTCAGATTAATACTTGGATGGGAGAACCACAATGCATACTAGGTACTGTAGACTGTATTTCAGAGGAAGCAACTGGCAAATCCACCTCTGATTATTCATTGTCTAAATTTATTTATTTAGTATCAAAAGCACTGAATAAATAAGCATAAAACTGATAAAATAGAGAGAGCACAAGCGGTTAAATAATTTTAGACCAAAAATGGGCAACAGCAACTGCATTGTGTGTAGCTTTAGTTGTCTAAATAAAATCCAATGAAATTGATAGTGTGGTCATAAATAGATAGACTTCAAGACACATACACAATAATTTTTAAAAACACTATATTTACTGTTACCATATATTAATAGGTGCCTTTAAATAACACATTACATACTAGCAGTCAATAAAGGGACCTAAAAGGAACAACTTTCCTGGCAGAAATTTATTTTTCAGGAATTTGTTCATTTGAAGGTTTTCTTCTAAAAATGTGATTGTAACGTATCCCTTTCCCCTTGGGAAAATAATCATTAAGCAAATTCCACTAAGATGTAAGAATTCAATAGTAGAATTCTGTCATCCTAACTTTCGATATATTTACAGCCCAAAAATCCTTTCATAAAGTATTACTGATTCTTCTTCAAAAGCATTTACTAGAGCTGAAAGAAAGGAAATCACCTCTGGTGGTCCATAGAAGGAATAAGAATAGAGTATAGGCTGGATCATGATGAGGGACTGGGTCAAGTCCTGCCTGGAAAAGTGATGGCGATAATAGGAAGATTCATCTGGGCTGTTATTAAACACTTGGAGGAACGGAGACCGACGCAAATGGAACATGAACTGCACAAAAACAGAAAAAAGAAACTATAATACTGGTCTAAACTACTGCCTTCTCCCTTTGTTTATGACACTTCACTTATTTGATTTAAGAAGCTGAATATAAAGGCTAAGCAACATCAGATAAAAAACAGAAAGAACAATCCAGCAATTTTTACGATAATCATAGTGGCATCTTGGAGCACTCACTGCTATCTCCTATTTATTGTTTAAAATTTTGAGAAATACTCTTTTACCTGAGGATACAGAGAGAACGAATCAGAAAGTCTGAATGAATTTGGATCATCCTTGTTGTATTGTCCAAACTTCTGACACTGTCGGGAGAAAAACACAGGCCTCAGTAATTGCTTAAAAACTTTCATTAACTTTGTACAATGTAATAGAGGATAAAAATAAACTAATTACTTCTGACAATGTTACCAAGAAGGATTGGAGTTTTGTTCTTTTTTTAAAAAGTATATCTATTTTACAAAACAAGAGAATTAAATTTGCTACATAAATGGATATATTTGATAAATGAGTTTCTTTCAAAAAACAGGGAAATTGCTTCCAAGATAATTGTATCAACTGCTTTTCATGTCAGCTCAATTGCTCATAACTGGAGATGAAACTCAAAAACAAGCAAGAAGTTAAAACCATGGTTTAACTCTAGTATGCTTGAAACTCAAAATAAAGGGTTTTCATTGAATGAAAAAAATCTCTAACATAGATTGAACCAGAGATAACATCAAATCATGCTTTCCCTTTGGAAGGGAAAAAAGTAGATGTCTTCCCACCACCACTATAATAAATAATAATAAACTTTATTTATACCCCGCCACCATCTCCCCAATGGGGACTCGGAGCGGCTTACATGGGGCCAAGCCTGGACAACATGATACAGCAAAATAAAACCAAAACATAAACAACAAGCAACATAATCAAAATTACATAGGAAAAAAAGTATAAACACAGTAACAAAAATAACATTCCAATAAACACAATCACGATAACAGTGGGCGGGACACATGCACAGGATAAAATGGTTAAAAGACTCTAATGGAAAAAAAATAGGAGCAGGTTATTTGCACTATACCCACATGCCACCTACTCATTGGTTTCCTCTCCTCTTCCTCTTTTTTTCTAACCACAATTCAGCATGGTTTGCGTTAGAGATCGCAAATATTCTTCAAACCAGAACTTCAAATTAAGACTTGATTATCTCTTTGAAATTAAGAGATTGGTAGCTTTCTTGGCTACAGTTACCCCAAATAGTTCACTGTTAGCATATGGGTTAGACATCATGGGCCTCAACTTGCCATTCACTTGGTTTGAAGGGATTTGTGTTTAATATATTGTGACCACTACCTTCTTTGATAAAATATTTGAAAAATTCGTTTTGAATTGTACATGTAGTGCTCTGTTGTTGTAATATGTGATTGGATGATGATACATATAGGTTGTTATGTTATGATACCTTTCTTAATGAATGGATGAAAAGATGATCCTTTTTGTAATGTGAATCAGAAGAAAGAATTTAAAGAAGTAAAAACAACCTGATAGATGAGTCCTAAAATGCCTCCATCTTACAAGGGATCATACTCACAAGTCTGATGAGCTGCCTATCAAGCCAACGCAAAACGTCAGGCCCCTCTTCTGATTCAGCTCTGTAGACACCCAGCCGGGCCATCAGGACAGCTGCTGCTTCTTGGTCAAAGGCAGCTTCTATGTGCTGCAGCTGACTCTGCGCATCAGCCCAGCTGGTAACAATGGCGAGAATTAGCAAATCTACATTTCTGAAAATTTAAAGCTGCACCCAACCCCCTATGCAGAAGCAGCTCATGCAATGGAACAACAGCACAACCTTTATGGGGGCAACATGGCCCTGATTTTTTTGGCCCTTGACTTTTCCAGAATCCCTGGTCTACTTTCTTTTGTCCAAAAATACCTCCCCGTTTGCCCTTCTGGAAGCTTCCAGGGATGACAATTCATCATCTAAATAGATTGCACTGTTGAACATTTCGGACAAATTTTGGGCTAATTGTTTGCTGTCCGCTGGACCCACCACAGTTTCTGTTTTAGTAAGTTTATTTATTTGCATCGAAGAAGAAGCGTATAACATAACCACTTTTCCTCATAAGTTTAGAAGATAACATAGGTAACTTATACAGTATATATATATATATATATAAACAACTAGCCGTCCCCTGCCACGTGTTGCTGTGGCCCAGTCTGCTGATCTGGAAAATAATGAGAAAGTGTTGGTTTCTAATATATGTAATTTCTTTTTGCTTGTGGGTAAACAGTATTTCTTGTTGTTTCTTTGTCAGTGTTGATGTGGAGATTGTCTGGTTTGCCTACTCTTGAACATGCAACATAGAATTGTCCTTCTTTAGGAGTCTCTTTCAAATCTATAATATTATATATGTGTGTGAATCATATATATCTATATCTATGGCAGGATGGCTTGTTGTCAGGAGGGCTTTGATTACGTTTTCTTGCCCTGGTGAAGGGAGTTGGACTGGAAGGCCTTAAGTATTTTCTGTTGGTCATGGGGGTTCTGTGTGGGAAATTTGCCCCAATTCTGTCGTTGGTTAATTGTAGGTGAACTGTAAATTTCAGTAACTACAACTCCCAAATGTCATGGTCTATTTCCCTCAAACTCTGTGTTTATATTTGGGCAAATGGAATATTTGTGCCAAGTTTGGTCCAGATCCATCATAGTTTGAATCCACAGTGCTCTCTGTAGGTGAACTACAACTCCKAAACTCAAGGTCAATGCCCACCAAACCCTTCTAGTGTTTTCTCTTGGTCATGYGAGTCCTGTGTGCCACATTTGGTTCAATTCCATCATTGATGGAGTTCAGAATGCTCTTTGATTGTAGCTTAACTATAAATCCCAGKAACTATAACTCCCAAATGACAAAATCAATTTTTTGAGTGATGGTCACTCCTTGGGTTAGTAGGTGTCTTGTGGCCAAATTTGGTGGCAATCTGTCCAGTAGTTTTTGAGTTATGTTAATCCCACAAACATATTTTTATTTATATAGATTTAACAACAAAAAAAAGATTTTAAAAATTCATATATAATCACCCTCATCCCCTACTTATTTCCATCCCTTTTCCACTATTTTCCCCTTCCCTCCCTCCCTTGTTCACCCCCTCCCCTCCCTCCCACGATAGTTTAATAAGCACACAGTCAAAAAATACAAGGCTACTTATCCCAAGCAGGTCTCACTTTCTAGCTACTGTAGTCACACGAACACGCCTCTGTGTATTGGAATGCTGATAATGTGTAACAAACTGGACAGCTCCTCTGCCGCCTTGGGGTATGGGTGCATTGTGCTGGAAACCAGATAGAGAGAAGTCACTTTAAGGAAATAGGCTATGTTTAAAAAGCAGTCTGAAATATCACATACAGTTATACAATAAAAAATAAAAGCAGCTTATTATGTCAACAGTGAGCCAACAAGCTTCTTGGAGCTTAAATGCAAGGCTTCAAGTACTCAAAATAACCAGAATCAAAATAACAGTGCAATTTTAGTTATGTTTATCCAGAGTTAAAGAACGCTGGCTTACTCCTCATGGACTTGGGGCTGGGTTGAATATAATGGACCTTTGGTATCTGCTAGGATTTGGTTCCAGGGCCTACTGTGGATATTAAAAATCCATGAATACTCAAATCCCATTATATAAAATAGTGTAGCAAAATGTTCTTTATGTAAAATGGTAAAGGATGACTTTTTAGATCTTTTAAAATATTTTCAAACCATCTATAGTTTGCGGATAGAAAATCCAATGTTATGAAGGGCCAACTATATATACATCAAGGCAAATTGCAAAAGTGTGGGGGGGATAAAGGTCAAAGAAAATAAGTATGGAAGTTTGAATAGTAATGTAAGTGCTACACAGTCCTATCTGCCAAAGATGGCATATTGTTCAACGAAACAGCACCTATCATTTCTGGATTATTTGTTGTATTTAAGAAGTATGTATGCATCTAGAAATAATCTCAACACTTTGGGCATTACAGGCAAAGAGAGGGGGAAAAGACAAGATTACCTGATTTACTACTTCAAAATAAATAGCAAGAGTCATGGTGGGGTCAATACTGCAAATTTTCCATTGGCATGTGCCTCCGATCCCAAGTTCCTATAAGAAAGTGAGAGAGGGGGTGTTCTGTTTACATTATGGCTACCTACAGGATTTGGTCACAGTACATTGTGTTCCTGCAGATTCATATACTGGCTAAAGTACAAACAATGAAACCTTAAACCCTATAGATGTCTGGTGACTAAAATATTGAACAGAAAACAACTTGGCCTTGCTCCCCTGCTACCACCCTAATTTGTTGCTATGAAAACATTCAACCCTGGTCTAGCTGGAATATACAATTTGTTAAGTTTGCATTAGGGTACAATACTTTGTATATTGTAACTAGCATTTGAATTACTAGAATGTGATGTCAATCACCAATCCCTAGAATAATATATATACAAAGGACAAAGAGGTATCATAGGGATATTTGCGAGTGACCTCCATTTAATATTCAAACAAAAGCTCTCCACACTGGCTATAGTATATATAACCCCATAGATAGATAGATAGATAGATAGATAGATAGATAGATAGATAGATGATAGATAGATACATTGAGAGAAAATAAGCAGCAATTAAATTACACAATATATTGAACAATCTTTTGGATGAAGCATTTAATAATGTCATAAATATCCTAACATTCACAATGCATATTATTGTGTTTCCTGCCCCACCCCACCTCCAACCACATAACTTACATTTTCAGAAACGCATGGCCCTTTGGCATTTAGGGACACACATGGTCCAATAGATCCAGCAATCTTCAGCTCTCTAGAAGTCTAAAATTCAAAGGAATACAACATTAATCTCAACCAATAGTGACAGATTATTGAGTAATTTGTCACCTTGCCAGAAATGAGCTGTTGGGAAGGCAGTAACTTGCCACCACGTTTGAGTGGTCTATTCCACCCCTTTGTGAGAAAGAAAGTAAGGTTTTGATGAATAGGAAATTATCTTAGAAGCTGACAATTACAAACACTGGTACATTCCTTTCAGATAAAGATAGCATAATACCAGTACACAACTACTAAGCAACAATTTCAAGACCAAGCTAGAGTTTGTCACACTCACCTTCACTTCTAAAGTAGACCCAAAAGCCATTCGGAATTCTCCACTGAGATCTTTGCTGAACACTCTCTGGAAAGTCTGCTTGAAGAGAGAGGTATTGAACGAGTCTCCCATCACCATGTGGCCCCTGAGAGGAGAAAATGGCATCTCAGAGAAATGTAGACAGTGAGATACTAAACCAGGGCTGTTAAACTCATTTTCATAGAGGGCCAACCAAGAATGGACAGCTTGCAAGTACCTGAACAGATTCAGAAGTGGAGTGGGCAGATCAAAAGACAACCTGGCAAAATGGCACTACCTAGAAGAATCCTCCACCTTGTGTGACTGTGGAGCAGAACAAACAACTTCGCACCTGTATGCTTGTCACAATGCCCTGCCTCATGCACAGAGGAAGAATTGTTGAAAGCTACAGACAATGCAGTCACTGTTGCCTGTTTTTGGTCTAAAATTATATAGGTAAAGGTAAGGGTTTTCCCCTGACATTAAGTCCAGTCGTGTCCAACTCTGGGGTGTGGTGCTCATCTCCATTTCTAAGCCGAAGAGCCGGTGTTGTCCGTAGACACCTCCAAGGTCATGAAGCCGGCATGACTGCATGAAGCACCTTTACCTTCCCGCCGGAGCGGTACCTATCGATCTACTCACATTTACATGTTTTTGAACTGCTAGGTTGGCAGAAGCTGAGGCTGACAGCGGAAGCTCACGCCGCTCCCCATTATCGAACCTGCGACCTTTCAGTCAACAAGCTCAGCAGCTCAGAGGTTTAACGCACTGCGCCACCAGGGGCTCCCTCTATTTTATCAGTTTTATACTTATTTATGCAATGCTTTTGACACAAAATAAATAAATTGGGGGCCACATCAGCCTTATGGTTGCCTTCAAAGGGTGGATTAATCCATGAATGAAAAATCCTTGCATACAGAGGGCCAACTATATAATTTTTTTTAGCATGGTGTTCAGTGCTCTTTAGTTTTTACCCAGTTTGGGTCCTCAGATGTTACTGAACAATAACTTTCATCATTTTTGATTATCTACTATGAAGTTTGTGGATAATGGGAATAGCAATTGTGGCTCTGAGCAAAAGATAAATAATATTTTAAAGTCAAACATCATATCCACAAGCCTTGTATTTAAATTCAAATCCCACTCTTGACTAAACAGAAAAAGCAGCCTTTCAGATCTTACTGTATCCTCCCATCATCATGACTAATTATGAAGAATACAGGAGTCTACAATCTAAAGGATCACATAAAATGACATGGAGGATCAGATTTGATCCATGGGCTCTGAGTTTGACACGTGTGTGCTAAATAAAGATTATCCTTCTTACCGCTGAATGCTGAGTCTAATCTGAAAATGCTTCTGTTCAGAATGAAACAATCAGTTTATTCCACAGAAGAGAGGAAGAACACCAAGTAAATTTGAAACAAACCTACCACCTCCATTTATACCAAGGAGAAGACTGCAATGTTCCTACATGCCTACCATTATGGCTGGGGTAGGATCAGGAAGAAAAGCCACATACTGCAAGCAGGGTGCTGTAATGTGTCATACTCCCGTTAGTCTTCTGGGAGCCCCTCTTACTGAGAGCACAAGCCAACTCAGTGTCATGGAAATAAAGACCATTTTATTTTTATCAGCTTTGTCTCCGCATCACCACCAAGGAAACACATACACACCAGAACAAAGGTACATATGTGTATATGTGAGGCTTAACTATTTCCAAGGGTTTTCCAAAGAAATTGGTTTCTTCATCTTTTAACAGTTTCACAAATTTCAGCTTTTTATTTTGTCTTGATGAAAGAGATGGGTTGACAACTCCCAGCCAAACAACCACCCTGACTTTGCTTCCATTTTTAACATTTTAATCTTATGGGTGTTTCCATTGATCCAGTTCTACTTCATTCACTGGAACTTACTCAAAAAGAAATACAGAGGGCTGTGGTATCTGATGGGGTTTGGTTCTAGGATCCCTTGTGAATACCAAAATTCATGGATGTTCAAGGCCCATTACATACAATGGTATAGTAAAAGGGTGTTCCTTAAATGGCAAAATCAAGGTTTGCTTTTGGGAATTTTAAAAATGTTTCCAAGCAATTTATGTTTGAATCCATGGGTGTAGAATCTGTGAATACAGAAAGCCAACTGGATACCAACATTTGAGGCCATCGTTCCTTCTAGAGAATATTATATTCTAAGAAGAGAAGGCTGAGAGGAGACATGATAGCCATGTATAAATATGTGAGGAGATGTCACAAGGAGGAGGGAGCAAGCTTGTTTTCTGCTGCCCTGGAGACTAGGACATGGAACAATGGCTTCAAACTACAAAAAGGAGATTCCACCTGAACATTAGGAAGAACTTCCTGGCTGTGAGAGCTGTTCAGCAGCTGAACTCTCTGCCCTGGAGTGTGGTTAAGTTATGGAGGCTTTTAAGTAGAGGCTGGATGGCCATCCGTCGGGAGTGCTCTGAATGCTATTTTCCTGCTTCTTGGCAGGGAGTTGGACTGGATGGCCCATAAGGTCTCTTCCAACTCCATAATTCTATAGTATGATGGGAGTAAGAGCTAAGAAACAGGTGTTTTATGTATTTTGTCATTTAAGTATTATGGCTGATTTCAGGACAATTCTGTCCAAATACACACACAAGCTACATCCTTTTGGCTAAAGTCATATCTAAAGCAAACCATCTAATCAAGTGCTGAATGACAAGTCAATACATAGATAAACCTAAAAATGTAGATGAGTCTACTCTAGTCAGAACTAAAAGAATTTAAGCTATGGATCCTCCTGGTCCCAAAGAAAAGAAAATGGCAGATCGTGGGCACAGTTTAAGAGTGGTGCATGAATCAAAGACAGACTCATCCTGCTGAGGGCTGAGAACATACCCAGTTAGATTTGTGCAACATTTCATCTCCAGAAGACCAGTCTGATCAAGAGCGCAGGCATAGATATCAATGCAGTGTCCATTGGCAGCTGTGCGACTAGCTAGCATCTCATAGTGCTGCAGAAATAAAACAAAGAAAAGAATTTGCAGGCAATATTTGCTATCACTACAACAAAATATTTTTTACAATCTTGAAGCAGGTGTGAGGAATGCACGCCAATTGCAAGATTTTAAAAATGATAGTCAAATTCTCCAGCACTTTTTAATAGAGTCTTTTCAACAGTAAGGAAGATCAGTTGCATGTGGAAAGTTTTACATGTTTCCTTGTATAAAACGGAATAGTCTTTTTACTGATGATCTGATATTTTCTTCTGTGTGTATAATAAAATTAAAATATGGTGGTTTTGTTGTTTTTTTTAAGGCACTCTAGTGCAATATTCTTGACTGGCGATATGGAAAGACAAAGAAAAAGAGGGAAGCTGGATTTGCAAAGTAGGAAAATTTGATCTTCTTAAAACAATAAAACTCAAGCGCTCGAATGCAACGCATAATTTTCACATTTTTGGCACTCCAATACTATATTGCTAGTCTAAACAGTAGAGAAAGAGATATAAATAAGAATTCTGAAAAGAGGAGGAAACCAAGAGACAAACCATAATAATGTAATTAGAGATGTCCTTATTAAAAAGCTCATAAGAACTTAGACATATGAACTTGAGCCTCCTGCAGTTCATCCTGATAATGACTACGTATTCAAGCAATCTTAGACCACTGCACAGAACTAGCCTTTGAAGAGGTGTAGAAACAACATAGGCAGAAGCCAATATTATTAAGGAGAAGGAAGAGCAAGCAACCATAGTGGTTGCTCAATAGATGACCATAACAACTTCATATTGAATCAAATGAATACTTAAAAAGATTATACCGGGAGAAGGAAGCATCTGACCTACATAGTTTGAAATTAAAATCAAAATTTCTGATCCTCTATCAGCTTTCAAAGTGCTCATGTAACTGTATATTTTTCAGGAAACCCAGTGTTCAGCAGAACCTGAAAAAATATACAGCATTACACTGAGTATTTAAAATAAAGGCCTACCTTCATAGCTTTCTTCATGAACCGTGCATTGTCCTTTTCTATATCATGCCAGGAACGGATTGGAGTTTTTAGCTCATCTCCTACCACCATGCCTGGCCCTTGAGTTGGAGGGCCTCCTGTAAACAACATTATTCTGGCCCCAGTGTTTGGAAATGTTCCCTTGAAAGTGGAGAAAGAAAGACAAAATGGTCAAAAGCACAGTCATCAATTAATGCACTGATGTATACCAATGTGGTTGGCTACAACCATCCCACTGAGAAATTTATTTGTTTTATGAAAAAAAAGATACTCTAGTATAGCACAGTTCTACGGAGCATGCCCTTAAAATCAAAAAACGAGGAATATCATGATTGCTATCATGATTTCTCCAGGCTTAATTTATAATATTGGAGAAGGCAAAAGACCTTCAAGCTGTGTTCAAGGTGGCAAGCATACAAAACTACTTATTTATTTTTTTCCTATATTTATACCTCGCCCTTCTCACACACACCCCGGGGGGGGGGGGGGGGGGGCGCTCAGGACGGCCTCATAGAAGCACCATATGATGCCAGCATCATAAAACATACAACAATGCATTAAAATATTAAAACAATAATTAAAACATAGATTAAAACACACCTATTCAAAATCGGAATCCAAAATCCCAGACATTACAAGAAATAGTACTGAAACATTGACTTTCCAAATTAATATTTAGACAGCATTGCCTTGAAAACCATACACATCTAGCCCCAAAGACACAACACTGACCAGCACCAATGCTTTTCAGGCTGTGAGTGCACCAGACAATTTGGTTTAATTCTACCACCATTTAATTGTTGTTGAAAGCAAATGTACCTCCAGTAACCCAACAGCAATTGACAAGGCTACTCCAGTGGATCGCAATGGCCTCTTTCCTTGTGTGACTGGCCACGGGTCCCTTTGGAGCTCTCCTAAGAGATCTGTCAGGTTCATGTCAATTTTGTGAACAGGTTGCAGAAATCTACAAAATTTCAAATGAAAAATAAATATAGTTTTATGTTTTAAAGAACCAACTTTATGCACAAAATTTCTCAGATGACTTACAATCTCAATGTACTACTCAAGGATCAGTTAATACAAAAAGAGGCTAAGTAACCCTAGACAGTTAGTGTCAAATACCAATTGAGTATATTGACCAATTAAAGAAAGAAAGTAGACTGTGAACATATATGCAAAGCTCATTCTACAACAAACTATTAATCATTGAAAAATCTCACAAAATCTGCTGCATAAGTATGTGTGATGAAAACACAATACAAAATACCACAATGGAAACTGGGTGATTCATGTGTGATCTCAAATAAATCCAGCTGTTCTAATTGTTCAACTATGCATTCAATCTTACTAATATTTCCATTAATCATTTTCCACTTTTGAAAGATGTACCCTGAGTGACATCATGATTAGAGATGCCAGTTCATAGCTATACATAATATACATGGAAAGAAACAGTTGCAGTTATATGGAAAAGGACTTATTCTAGTTATTTCTAAAAATTAGTTACAGAAACTCTTCATGTTTTAGTTATTTCATTGAAGTCAACCAATTCCATCCTCTGAAACATAGGTTCTTTTAAAAATGTAAGTACCTGCTTGAAATGACAGGCTGTTCCTGTGGCTGATGAGGTCTTCCTTGCTGAACAGATGCAGTAGGCCTTGAAAGACCCAACATATCCTAACAGTCAAAACACATACCATTATTAGAGAATCCCACTTTAATTTTGGAAGGAGAGACAGGCAACTGAAAAGCTGAATTAGCTTTAATTAAAATCAAGGCAACACCACACCTGTATTTGTTTTGCTGTTAGATCCTTGGTACCTCTGAAAACATAACTTTTGGAGATTCCCTCACAGCTGAGTTCATGAACCTGGACCATTCGGCCAAAGGTAATCAAGCCAACAAGAGCATCCGGAGGCAGCAAACTCAGAGACATCTGCAGAGACTCCTTCAAAGCCTGCAAGTCCTCCTCTTCCAAACACGTGTCCACCACATAAAGAAAGACCAGGGGTGTCTGAGGACCACGCTGGTGTGAGAGAAAGAAAATTACATCAAATTATAGACAGCAGAAGACCATTGGAAAAAACCATATTTAGAACTCTTTGAGACTGCTGTCACAAAACTACTCAATATAATATTGTTAATTTCAAAAATGGGATAAAAAAGGTTACCTGGACTATATATTCAATTGTGGAAAACTGCGGCATGAGTTCTGCTGGTTGATTCACTTCAGATATGCCTGCATATGCTGGTGGAAACTGGGGAAACACATCAAGGATTAGGAAATATACTGAAAGATATAAAAGTTCCTTTCTAATAAGCAAGTTTTTTTCTATTTCAACAAACTTCCATTTCAAAAAAATACTGGCATTTTAGGGAACAGTTTATCAGTGAATAGACATCAGGTGAAAGAATCTGCTAATTAGCTCTAGTATTATGTCTCTTCTGTATACAAACTCAATTCGGAGTCATATTAATCATGGTTTGTAAAACGGAAATCTGGTTAGGCATAATGTATAGATCATAAACAATTATTTCTCATTGATCAAAAAACTAGAATTAGCAGCCATGGTTTGGCACGCAATAGTAGGCAACACTGTATTGTCAAAGGCTTTCATGGCCGGGATCACTGGGTTGTTGTAGGTTTTTCCGGGCTATATGGCCATGTTCTGGAGGCAATTTGCCTCCAGAACATGGCCATATAGCCCGGAAAAACCTACAACAACTCAGTAGGCAACACTGTTTGTAATTCTTGGCATTATTCATACATTTGCAACCGAAAGCTACGAACGTTACTCTTCTACTGAGGCCAATGCTACTGAGCATACCTAAACAACACCATCTGGCCATCTGTTGGGGGTTGCTTTGAATGCCATTTTCCTGCTTCTTGGCAGGGGTTTGGACTGAAGGGCTGACAAGGTCTCTTCCAACTCCGTGATACTACGATTCTAACACATCGTTTGACAATTAACCCTACTCAGTCAGTGTTGTCTGACCTGTAATTATATCATATGATGGCCCTAATCCACAATGAGAACCAAAAAGTTTTGTTAATACTAATGGGCAACTCAAACATGGTCACATCAACAACTTTCAGTTTCTATTTTGGTTATACCTTGGATCAAACGGAACCAAGACTAGGAGACAACAGATGAATGGCAACATATTCACTTTATGGAAAAAAGATTCCACCTAAACATTAGGAAGAACTTTGTGATGGTAAAAGATGTTTGGCAGTGGAATGTGCTGCCTCACAGGCTGGTACAGTCTCCATCTTTGGAGGTTTTTAAGCAGAGGTGAAAGACCACCTGTCAAGGGTGCTTTGACTTTGTATTCCTTCATGGCTGGACTGGATGGCCTTGGGGTCTTCTAAGATTCCATACAATAATGTATTAAACTGATCTGAGCATATGGGATATAACTAGCAGAATTACTTTTAAACAAGGGAATTAAAAAAAAGATGGTAGAACCTAGAACCTTTCACACTCACCTGGTTTCGCTGAAAGCAGAAGTTGCAGGCCCAAAGCTTGGCACGGTAATCAACTTGGCTATAAGAAAGGAATACATAAAAACTACTAAAATCTCATTTTGAAAGATAAAGCAAATAAATGTCACAGTGCTCCATTATAATATAGATATCCTCAAAGTCAATGTACAACACTAAAAAGAATTCACAATATTAGAAGAAAATGAGTACTAGTACTGTCTGATAAAAACCAACTTCAATTTCCCCATTGAATGTCCCTAATAGCAGCGGAGTCAACCATTCCCAATTAAGCTAGCATACTTGTCTTCATTGGAAAGGCTATTCTTAATTGAGTTCTAGGAAATACTGTATTTCTACCTTACCTCAAGTCAAGTACTTAAAAAGTGTATCTGACATGACTTTAAAAATTATTTTTCATTAATCTGACTGTTCCACAGATAAGAATTAATACTGACAAATGAGCTTCCTTACATTTGCATTATATTAGGAGACAAACAGTATTTTGTGGACAAGGGCAAAGTGTATAGGATACACAAACTCTAACAATGTTTAAGGAGTAGGAAACAGGATGAGAACATGCAGTATTCCTCCAGCAATCTGATGTTTAAAAGTACAATGAATTGCTTATTAAATCAATGATAATGGTGGAATATCATATAGTTCATGTACTGGCTTTTACTACTTCATATACCATGATAAGGACGTTGAGGTGAAAATGAGGAACCAGGCAGAAAAGTGTTTCATACCACAGACCAGTGAGGCTTGTAGCATTTAGATTTTTCAACTAATTAAAATTTAACTATTATAGTTCAAAATGTTCCCCTCCAGATGTTTTTGGTCTATAGATGCCATCAGGCTTACAGAGCGCAGTCAAGGATGAGGAATCATAGGACCTATAGTCCAAATCTAGGAGCTATAGTCCAAATTTAGAGTAACAAAAATAAATTGCAGTAGTGTTTGGCCTCTTATGCTCTTCTCCTCTAACAGCACAGAGAACATTGGAAGTTAACACTAACCACAGCTTGTTGATTCAGGTGATAACACAAAGTACAGTCCCAGAAGTGCGCTACACCCAACAATGAGGAAGGGGTTGCACAAGATCAAGGAGACACTAAGTTCTTTCCTATCACAAACTATGACTCAGAATGGCATCTGAATCCGGCTACTATATCTGGTCAGTGTATCAGAATCAGTTAAGACATAATGGAGAGCTCAAAACAAAGTTATTTTAAAAGAAAAATTTGATATTTACATTTTTAAATTTGAAGGAATTATTCTGAAAAACATTTTATCCCAGTTGTTAGGCATTCTATATGTTTTGATTACCAAATTCCAAATCAGGACTATATGTAGTTGTAGAGGATAATTATTAAATTGTAAAGGCCTTATCAAAAGCTTAACAAATATATCTCCCTCCAAACCAAGAAAACCCACACACTACGTGTATGAACAAATCCGTACCAAAGTGGATTGAGTACAGTTTTACAAGTTGGTCTGCTGCATAGCACTGGCTCATACTGGACAGGTGGAAGGTCTAATCGTTCTTTCAAAGGAGTGAATAGACAGGCCAAAGGGACGACCATCCTCGTGGCCTCCAGTCTGCTGGATGGCCATACGTTCCAGCTGAAGCGCACTCCATCACGCTCTTCATTTTGCTGGATAAACTCCAAGTAAGTCGCCATAGAATTATAAAGTTTCTGCAAAGACAGATAACAGGTTTGTTTGTGAATATTTGGACCCACAAAGCACCCCAAATTTCTTTCAACTGATTGCACTGAAATCCAGTTAAAATATAATATATATCCAAACACATACAGGGGGATTTAGTGTAATCTAGGAAAATTATTACTCAGAAACCTCTTGCATTCAGCTGCTTTCTCACTCATGAATTCGGGGCCCATACTGGGAAACAGGATTCACCAACCTCCTTTTGGTTGGGAGGAATGAGGTGCCTTATTTTTACAACCACTTGACAGGAACTGAAAACTGCACATCCAACCAGGCTTATATGGAATCAGTGGGGATTCCTTGAAAAGCAATATGGTTGGGGACAAAATATGAATCTTTGCAGAGATCAGACAGGGTATGGCACAGTGAGACTCAGGCCCCATCTACACTGACCATTTAATGCAGTTTTAATTCGTATTGAAGAAATGCAGATTACATAGAGAATCCTGGAACCAGTTTGATGCCCAGATAGTAACTGCACAAACCACAGAGTACTGATATGCATTAAGGACTTTCTTTCCCACACTTTTGTGGGTATTTGTTGTTCGGCCGTCGGTTTGAAGTGAGCTTTGAACTGCATCAAATGGTCAGTGTAGATGAGACTTTTTTTTTCCAGGAGGGTGATAGCCAAGCTGTGGATAATGGAATCTGTGGGTGCAAAACCTGTGGATACAGAGGGCTGGCTGTACTGGGTGGTGAAAAAGCAGTTCATTTTTTAGTCATCCTTAAAAAATGCTACAAATCAATATCACAAATCAGTGGGTCTTTCCACACAACATCTGTTATAGAACTCCAATAGGCTGATGACAACGTCATCTATGCACATTCAGAAGACCTACAAACCACTCTAAACACCTTTACATTAGCATATGAGAAGCTCGGCCTGTCACTGAACACCGAGAAAACTAAAGTGCTCTTCCAGCAGTCACCAGCCAATCCCTCTCCAATGCCAGAAATACAGCTTAATGGTGTAACATTAGAAAATGTTGACCATTTCCACTACCTTGGCAGCCACCTCTCCACAAAAGTCAACATTGACATTGAAATACAACACTGCCTGAGCTCTGCGAGTGTAGCGTTTTTCCAAATGAAGCACAGAGTGTTTGAGGACATCCGTAGGGATACCAAGGTGCTTGTTTATAAAGTTACTGTTGCCGCCGAAAAATCCTGCAAATCTCTTGGGAAGACAGGCGAACAAATGTCAGCGTGCTGGAAGAAGCAAAAACCATCAACAAAGAAGCGATGGTCCTCCACCATCAACTCCACTGGACAGGTCACGTTGTCTGAATGCCTGGCCACCGTCTCCTAAAGCAGTTGCTCTACTCCGAATTCCGAACTCAAGAATGGAAAAGAGGTTTCAAGATGGGCTCAAAGCCAGCCTTAAAAACTCTGGCATAGACACCGAGAACTGGGAAGCCCTGGTGCTCGAGTGTTCTAGCTGGAGGTCAGCTGTGACCAGCAGTGCTGTAGAATTTGAAAAGGTACGAATGGAGGGCGAAAGAGAGAAATATGCCAAGAGGAAGGCTCATCACACCAACCCTGACCGGGACTGCCTTCCACCTGGAAACCAATGCCCTCACTGTGGGAGAAGATGCAGATCAAGAATAGGGCTCCACAGTCACCTACAGACCTACCGCCAGGACACCAATCTTGGAAGACAATCTTACTTGGACAACGAGGGAACGGCTAAGTCCACACAGCCCAGAATATCAAAGCGGAAAATCCCACATCTGCTTTGAACTGGGTTATATGAGTCCACACTCAGATAATGTGGGATTTCCTGCCTTGATATTCTGGGATTGTGGACTGTGTGGATGGGCCCACTATTACCAGAAGGGAAGGGAGGAAAGTTTCCCTTTCTTTTATTCCCCACAAGGTTTTTCTGATTGACAACTGGCAAGGAAATGCCACATAGGAAGTCTGCCTTGAAAGAAGAGGGCAATACATCTGATTTGACTTGGTCCAGCGTCCTGAGGCCCTTCCATACAGCCCTATATATCAAGGTAAGAAATCCCATACTATTTGAGTGTGGACTCAGATAACCCAGTTCAAAGCAGATATTGTGGGATTTTTGCCTTGATATTCTGGGATAAAGGGCTGTGTGGAAGGGCCCCTGGACATGCCTTATAGAGCCTGGTCTTCAGCCAATATTATTTCATTCAATTAAACAGGCGAACTCTGCCCAGCACCCCAGTTTCCCCTTAAGAAGGAAGAAAGGTTTGGAGGAAGAAGAGGATCCTGCCACGCGAGACCCACTGGAGAAGGACGGAGGCCCAGAAGGGCCAAATGCCGGCGAGTCCCTGCTTCTCCCAATAGGAGCGCCATAAAGGGGGGCTCTTGAAGGAGGGCCGCCCGCAGCCCTTCTATATTTCCCTGTCAGGACTCCCTTTCCCGCGTTTTTGTCTCCCTTTTACCTCTGAGGCTCGCTCTTCTTCCCAGCTCCGGTCCGGTCCCGCTGCTTTTAGCCACACCCGCGCCAAGAAGGACAGCTCAGCGGCAGCCTGCCCTCAGTCAAAATGGCGGCGACAGGAACAGAACGTCGGGAGTATAGACTTAGTCCCGGGAAATAAGGAAGAGTGGGAAGTTTCGATTAAAGGGCAATAGGGAAGTACATATATCTACACTTTTTCTACTTCTATGTTTTAATCAGCTCTTTGCCTATTGGTGTAAGCGCCTAAGCGTCATTTACCACGCCGACAAAGTGAAGCCAGGCTTATCGTTCCTCTTCCTCATCAGCGTTGGTTGGGTTGAGTCATAGACTAGAAGATCTAGTGATTAAAGAGTGACGACTCTTTTGAAGTAGATAACACTTCCGGGGACGAGTAGCTCCTTTTTTTTTTAAGGCTCACAAAGTTAGATGACCAAAAGATGGAAAGTCAGGCCCTTCCACACAGCTGAATAAAACCCCATATTTTCTGCTTTAAACTGGTATATATGGCAGTGTGGACTCATATAACCCAATACAAAGCAGATATTGGGGGATTTTCTGCCTTGATATTCTGGACTAGCTGTCCCCTGCCATGCGTTGCTGTGGCCCAGTCTGTACATATGTGTTTTGTGCGTGTGTATGTGTGTATAAATAGTTGTGTATATGTGTATATATGTGTGGTTGCGTTTATATATGTGGTTTTGCACGTGTGTTGTAATGTTTTGTTGTTTTTACTTTTTGGCTTTTTAAGTCTCTTTAGCTGTGTTTTTCCATGTTTTTTATGAGTTATGGTCATTTGTTGGCCTGATACGTGTATTGTGTCCAAATTTGGTGTCAATTTGTACAGTGGTTTTTGAGTTATGTTAATCCCACAAATGAACATTATATTTTAATTTTTATAGATTACTAGCTATCCTCTGCTATCCATTGCTGTGGCCCAGTCTGTGTATATGTTGTTTGTTTGTGTATATATTTGTGTATATATGTATATATGTGGTTTTGCGTGTGTGTTGTAATGTATTTTTTATTTATTGGCTTTTAAAGTCATGTCTGCTGTGTTTTTCAGTGTTTTTATGAGTGATGGTCACTTGTTGGCCTGATAGGTGTATTGTGTCCAAATTTGGTGTCAATTGGTTCAGTGGTTTTTGAATTATGTTAACCCCACAAACAAACATTACATTTTTATTTATATAGATATAGCTGTGTGGAAGGGCCCTCAGGACCCCTCTACACTGCTCTATATCCCAGGATTTGATCACAGATTATCTGCTTTAATCTGTTTATGAGTCTCCACTTACAGATAACCCAGGATAAACAGATAATCTGGGATCAGATCCTGGGATATAGCATTAGTGTGGAAGGGATCTCAAACTTAACTCGCATATGGGCTTTCTCACTCAGGACTCAATGTTTATGCTCGTTATTGTCTATATTAAACAATGGCTATCAGCATGTTGCAATTAGACCAAACCTGAATGATGCTTTAATATACTTTAGGACAGCAGCATTTCCCAATTTATCTGCAGGTACGTCTACACTGTAGAATTAATCCAGTTTGACACCACTTCAATTGCCATGGCTCAAAGTTGGGATTTGTCATTTTCTGAGGCACTAGCCCTCATTGGCAGAGGAGGCCAAAAGGTACTGTTTCATTATCTGGGTGGAGGCCATTAGGGGGTACTAGAGGGAAGAGGGAGTTGAAAGAGTAAAACGATTTCCCACTGTTTTCCTGTTATTCCCCCCACCCATGTTGCCCTCATGGAAACAACCCTCATTTATGATATGGGAGGGAGGGGGCATAATCTACGAAAATAGGGAAAATGGTTTTCCTTCTTCAATTCCCCCCTCCCCCAAGAAAATGGACTATCCTTACATCTAGCACCACCTAATGGCCTCAACCCAGATAATGGAACAGTACAGCCAAAGACCTTGAAAATCTACAATTCCCATGAATCCATAGCATTGAATAATGGCAGTTAACGTGGTATCAGACAGCATTAATTAATTAATTTTTAATTATGTTATTTATACCTCACCTTCTTCATCTTGGGGACTCAAGGCAACTAACAACCACCCACTTTGATCAATTTAAAACAAAATGAATACAAACATTTAAAATCAAAAAGTACTGTATGCGTTAGGTTAAAATAACAGTTGAAACACAATAAATAAAATTAAAATGCGTTTTTAAAACACAAACCTCTGTATATCCTCTGGAGCCCGGATCTCTTGGACAACCGGTGGTATGGACCCGTCACCAACTAGAGAGCCAGGAGGGCCTCTTTTGGCTGCTACAGCAGTGGGACCAGGGCAACCAACTGTGATACCTGGGAGTCCATGGAAGAGGCTCTCGGGTGGCCTCAACCCCATGCGACCCACACTCGGCCCTGCCATACCTGGGGGGGGGGGGGGTAATTCCCTGTGAATATGCGCTGATTCGGACTGGTTTAGATTAAAGGGTTGAGCCAAAAACATGTAAGTGGAAGAAAATGGACATTGTGGGAGTGGGATTAGCTGCTGGTCCAAGGAGGGTTGGGGAAGACTTCATCTATAAGGGAGGGCATTGCTGCAATTCATTTTGGCTCCTTGTCTTTGGAAAACTATAAATCTTTTTCACAGTGAACTATATCTCCTTTTTATTAGGGATGGGGGTAGCAGTGTTCAATAACAAAGCCCCCCCCCCCCCAAGTAGATTGCAGATATCTACCAGGTTTATAGAAAGAGATATGGTCCTTCAGATAACCTGGACTTTGTAGTACTTTGAATTGTGTCCAGAAACGTGTTGGCAGTCAGTGGAGCTGTTGCAACAGAGGAGTTGTTTGCTCCCTGTAGCCAGTCCCAGTTAGCAGTCTAGCAGCCACTCTTTGGGCCAACAGAAGTTTCTGAGCACTTTTCAAAGGCAGCCCCACGTAGAGTGCATTACAGTAGCCCAACCAGAATGGAACCAAGGCATGTACCACCGTGGCCAGATCTGACTTCTCCAGGAATGGGCACAGTTGGCACACTAGCTTTATTTGTGCAAAAGCAGTCCTGGCCACTGCTGAAACCTGGGGCTCAAGGTTCAGAGCTGAATCCAGGAGTACTCCCAAACTGCGAACCTATGTTTTCACAGGGAGTGTGACTCTGTCCAACACAAGCTAACTCCCTATTTCCAGATATGTCTTATGACTGGCCAGGAGCACCACTATTTTGTCTACACTTCAATATTGTAGATCAGTTTTAAAAATGTAGTAATCTCGTCCCATTTCTCATTTGTGTGCTTGTTTCTCCCGATTTCTAAGAGACACTTGTGAAAAATTATGTTCAAATTCAAGTTTTGCATTCTAGGTAATGTTAGTCTAGGTCAGGGGTCTTCAAACTAAGGCCCAGGGGCCAGATACGGCCCTCCAAGGTCATTTACCCGGCTCTCGCTCAAGGTCAACCTAAGTCTGAAATGACTTGAAAGCACACAACAACAACAACAACAACAACAACAACAACAAGCCTATCTTATCAGCCAAAAGGATGCCCACAATTCCCATTGAAATACTAATACATTTATATTTGTTAAAATTGTTCTTCATTTTAATTATTGTATTATTTTAAGTGTTTTTTGCACTACAAATAAGATATGTGCAGTGTGCATAGAAATTAATTAAAATTGCCTCCAGAACATGGCCATATAGCCCGGAAAAACCTACAACAACCCTAATTTATGTTTGTTTTTTCAAATTATAATCTGCCCCTCCATCAGTTTGAGGGACTGCGACCCGGCCCTCTATTTAAAAAGTTTGAGGATCCCTGGTCTAGGTCATGACCTAGAATGCAAAACCGTAAGAAAGCCAAAGGAATAACATTTGCCATTCAAATCTGATGAGACTGATGTAATAAACCATAAGACAACCACAAAACTATGCTCTGCTATCTGATCCTAGCAATAAATTATATTATCTAAAAGTGGCCAAGAATGCTATCTTCTGAACAAGCCAAACCACAAAGCTCCGCCATCATAAATAACTAGATGAGGTCAATTCAATAAGCCACAACATTTGGACAGACCCTAGATTCTTTTGCCTTTTCTGCACAAACTGCATTACAGAAAATAACTAGGAATGACAACTTTCAACCTAGCCAAAATAACCAGATTTATATGTGGAGCTTGTTTCCAAAAAGTACCACATCCATCTGAACAAATTTTAAAGCAATTTTAAAAAATGTGCTGAGGATATGTATGCATTCATTTGCTATAAAGATGCAATTTTCCAAGCTCTGTACCAAAGTGATTTGATACATTTTGATAGTTTTCATCTCTACATAATAGCCAACAATATGTTGCTACCTATAACTCGTATTGTTGAAGGCTTTCCTGGCTGGAATCACTGGGTTGTTGTGTGTTTTCCGGGCTGTATGGACATGTTCCAGAAGCATTATCTCCTGACATTTCCAACCTCTGAGGATGCCTGCCATAGATGCAGGTGAAACGTCAGGAGAGAATGCTTCTGGAACATGGCCATACAGGCTGGAAAATACACAACAACCCTACCCATCACTTTTTTTCTTTGGTAATTTTTGGAAACAAACTCCACATATAAAGAAGACACAAACTACAGAAACCAGGCTACAGGTTCCAGGAGAAATAGTACGAGGAAGAGGGGAAATATTTTTTCCTTTCTCCTGTGGAGACCCTCAACTAAATCTTGGTGCCTTTCATTTACAGAACTGCCAGACTATGTCCAATCTATTTCAAAGGGCAGCTGGTGATTCCTATATCATTTGGGCAGCGAATCTATTTCATGTATAAACTAAATTTGAAGGAGTTAGCCAAAGCGAGCAACATCAGCAATCCCATTTTCTTTCTCCGAAATGGCCTTTTTAGGGGGGAAACAACTCAGCTTTCATTAGCAGCCTCTGCAGGCATTCATATTGCTTTTTCTACCAGTGGGAGCCAAGAATCACTTGTTGCTGCATGAATGGTGGCTGAGAGATAGGAGAGGAAAAGAAATAAAAAGGAGTTATATAATCACTTTTAAGAAAGATCTTTTTTGTAAAAAAATTAATAATAATCATAATCATAATAATAAGCCCCATGTATGTGGAAAGTTGAACTTGGGAATATTTTACA